CAGAATCTGTACGTACGAGTTGACAGTGAATAAAAATATATTCTGCAAAAGAACAAAACATTAATATGATTCCATAGGTGACTGATGATGTAAGAAAATGACTGGGGAGGAGGAAATAGGCATACATTAAGTACCCAGACAGAAGAATGCCTAAGAGGACACACAAAGAGGCTAGGAGAGATGTCAAAAAAACTGAGGGACTATTGTCAAACATAAAAAGCATCGTAAACAATATGGAACATGTTACCACAGGGAGCAGATGGAGCTAACCAAGCATTTGGGAGAAAATAGATGATAGAGGATTCAAGTGGCTTGTAAACACTGACATGGCCTGTTTTGGGCCAAATGATGTTTCTATGCTGTATATCCTAACTTTTGTTTCAGCATGTTTTGATCAGACTTCAGCAGCCTATGAGCCTTGGTGTCAAATTAACATTTACCAACATTGGGTGATGCACCTAAGGATGTTTTTACATTAATGATACTATATAAATAGAATTTTTTTGGGCCCTCAAATTCAAGGCTACCACTTTGTCTTGTACCACTTCTACACTTGAAAATTTGTCTCACCTTGATATATTAGCAGTAGGCTGCAGAATGCGAACTAAACAAACCACAACATGTTGTAGCATGGCCCACTATTGACACCTGTAACTGGAATACCAATTTAATGATATTAAAGCTATACTCCATAAACTGTTCATTGTAAGCAACAGCTGAAACAATCATGGGTTGAAAGACAACACGTCACAGGATTTTGATTCAGTCTAGTACAGTATCACCCACCCCTAACTACTCTTGAGAAGCTGAGATACATTCTTGAGTTGCTGCAGTCATGGTGTAGTCCCTCATGTTGTGCTGTAAGTTAGGAAGTGTTCCAGGATTTTGATACCAGTGATAGTAAAGGAACAGTGAAATATCTCTAAATCAGGATGGTGGATGACTTGGTGGAAAAACCTGCAGTTACAGTCATCCTAGGCACCTGCTGCCTTTGTCTTTCCTTCTCCATGCAGAAGTTGCAGATTTGGAAAATGTGTCTAAGAAACCTTGGTGAGTTGTTGCAGTGCATCTTATGAATAATACACTTCTGCCATTGTGTATTGGTGATAAAAGAAATGGATATTGAAGGTAGTGAATGGTGGTAAAAGCAGGCTTTTGTCTGGATGGTGTTTTTAGCATGTTTTTAGAGCTGCACCCACCCAACCAAGTGGCGAACACATCATCACATACCTGGCTGTGCTTTGTAAATGGCATACACACTGTTGGGAGTCAGGTGAGATTCAGCAAACTGTTTTAACCAGCACCTTATGAACCAGCACTCTCAACAGACCAGCAAAGATTATATACCTGAAATACTGGAACTTTGAGATCTCCGAATAGTCAATTGAGGGTGGGAGTAAGAAGGCTCTCTATTGCTAAGTTTTATTTAAAGCAAAGTTACATTATTTAAGTGATTTATGCTGGAAATAAAATATAACAGTAATATGTATACCTCTGCAGGATATTTCTATTACTTAGTGTCTGTTCTTACATTACATAGACCTTTTGATCATCTAGAATATTTGCTCAACCAGCACACTTGTCTCACAGGTGTCATTTAGTAGAACTTTGCTGTACTCTGTACTCTTTAGTCAAACTTTGCTGGAGAATTCTGAACCTGCTCTTGTAGCCACTGTAGCTATTCACATCTGGTTCAGTTAATGTTCTGCTCAATAGCAACTCCCATGTGTTGATAACGTAACCATGATAATCCACTGAACATCAGAGGATGACGAGTAGATTCCTTCTTGTTGGAGACTATCATCGCCTAGTACTTGCTTGGCTCAAATGTTAGTTGGCAACTATCAATCTGTACTTTTTTTTAAAACACCCAAAACTGAGCAGTGAACAGGTCACTGCTGAGTAAGTTGCTTGCTAGCACTGCCAACAACACCTATCACTTAGCTGATGATTGAAAGTAAACTGCTTCGGTAGTAAGAGGCCAACACAGGTTTTTCCTGCTTTTTGGACATACCTGGGCAATTTGCCACATTTCCAGGTAGATGCCAGTGTTGATACCGTACTACAACAGCTTCGCTAGAGATGCAGGTAGTCCTGCAGCACAAGTCTTCTGTACTTTTGCTAGATGTGGTCAGGTGAACGAGTACTGCAAAGGCTATTTCTTAACATCACGTGAATTAACTGAACTTCTAGATTTCTTTTAAAAGATGTGACAAGGGTAAAAAATAATTTCAGGCCCACCAAGTTCACTCTAACCTTTCAACTCTCAAACAGCGTATTAGAAAGGTACTCCAGGCATGATGCAAGATGTAGCTCCTGTTCCAGCTTGTGGTTTTCTTTCTCTCTTTCAGCCACAACATAAACAATAGTGGGATTCTGGTACTAGGGAACAAACTGGCTCCAGCTCTCACACCATGACCTAAAATAGTCACCAATTCAGTGTCCCTCTGTATGATCCTTAATAATTAATATTGCCTCATTTTCTGCCGATCATTCCCTCTGGCAGCTGATGATAGGTTGTGAAAAATTTGGCACGCAATAGTGATAAGAAAGGATAAGCAAATTAAATCTCATTTATGTCTACAATTTCAGCATAAAAAAAGTGGGCTGTAGTCATAGAGCTGTACAGCATGAAAATAGACCCAGTGGTCCAACTTGTACATGCTGACCAAACGTCCTAAGATAGTCCCATATCCCTCTAAACCCTTCCTATTCATGTACCCATCCAGAGGGAGGAAGTGAGGGAGAAATGAACAAGAGGCCACTTTCAGAACAGAAGAACTGAGCAAATGTGGACTCCAATAGGTCAGAAAATCCAGTTATGAAAGCATTTAAATACAATAAGAGGGATAGCAGTCAGTATACATAGAATGAAAAGAATTCATTGCAGGATAAACTGGCAAAATTTTGGATAAACAACTTTACTTAGATTGGAAAACCAATTATCAAGATTGGAGTAATCACGGAGGTGACAAAGTTACAGCTGAAAGCTTCAATACCACAAAAAATAGTCACAGCCAGGTATCGCTCTGGAAATAAGCATTTACCTTGGGGTGGAAATTCAGGGTCATAGAATATTGTGGTTCCAATTGATCTGACATAGTCAAAAATAATGGCCAAGGTGGTGCATAACATGACAGCAAATATTAATATTTGAAGTTGGAGTACTATCAGACAATGGATCCACGGAGAAGAAGGGATAGAGCTAGATCTTATCAGTGCACATGAAAAAACTGGATTCAAGACTTGCCATTCAATTCTTGGTAGAAGAAAAAACATTTTAAGGTATAAAGGAGAGTGAAACCACATGGCAATCATCCCACTCAACTGGAGAAAAGTAAACTTATGGAAGGACAATACAGATAAAGATTGGAGAGGGAATAACAGAACTAATGCACCATTGCCATCAAGGATGGCATTTCTGACTTTGTTATGAAAATTTTGGTGCAGGGAAATTCTGAATCACAGATCCAAATATGGAATTGGAATGAAGATAACAGATTTCAGGGTAAGTACCGAGATGCATCCACCTGGGATCTCTAGAAATTAATCCTAAAATTAAGAGATCAAGGAAGTCCTTCAAGAAACAAAAAGGCATACATTCTAGTAGGCTCACATCTTTAATCTCCTCCATTGATCAAGGACGCAAATGCAGCATTAAAAAAAAAATTCCCTTGTCACCTGTCCATTCACTATTTAGCAAACTACCACACTTGGTCTCCCTCAGTGCACCAGTTGATCTACAGTCGAGGCACCCTTGCTCAATCTCCTGCTCTGCTGGCAGTATTAAGGGGTAAACAGTCTGTTCTTTTACAGGACCTTCAAATTCTGAACACTTTAGATTTTGAGATTTATATACGTAAGAATTGCAATTGCCAGCTAAATCATAGAAAGTCTGATGTTTACAGTAGGTGCCAATGCAGCAACAAATTTATTTTCTAAGCAAACCCAGTCTTCCCTTTATCTAGTTGTATTAATTAGGTATCTACTCGATAATAGCAAAATATTACAACATTCATAGCATATTTAAAATGTTATATTTGTCTTAGCTGAACTCAAAGCTGCAGAATAATATTTCAGATGCTATTTGTGTGACTGATCATATTTAAGTCCATCTAAAGGAATGACGAAATCTTGATGTCTTAACATATCTTTAGCCTGTGAAAACACAACCTTACTTTCTAACATTCAGGTAAGCACATTTCTATCCATTAGCCAAGAATGATGTATGCTTCTGACTCCAAAGTTAATTTAATATTTTATATTTAGTACATTTTGATGAAACCATGATCTTATAAGAGAGTTGGGTTCCGTTATTTCTGTGCCTTGATCTTGTGATTGTGACTCTAGCCACAATTTTGATTTCATAGACAAAAAGCATACTTTCAACGTACACCATGTATCCCAAGCTTACAGCACACATGTAATGTTGTGCCAAAGTTGACAAAAGACCTTTTATGCCCCCTTCTAAGCTGGAAATAGAAAGATCCTCCGCAATCCAAATATGAACCACATATCTATTTACTCTTCTGACTGAAAGCAATTTTACTCTGTTCAGTGCACTTTATGGACTTTGGCACTGCCTACAGAATCTGTGCGCAGTCCTATTAATCTACTAAAATCAGTGACACTTATAACTAGGTAAAGCAGAACTAACAAGGTGCAATTTAGTTTCAACAAAACAGTTTTTCCATTTGGCAATGGTCATTCTGATGAAATGCCCAGTAGTTTATCTTGCATTGCTCTCCCTTAAGAAAGATAATGCTTTTAAAATTTACTATGCCTGTGCCAATGAGCGCAAACAGCAGATTCTTTTAAGATTTTCAAATGTATAATGATGAACAAGGAAAACTTGATGTATTTTACTGAATCATAGAACTCTTCAGTTCTTGAAAGAACAAAGGAAGCCAAATGTTTGTAATGTCAAGGGAAAACTGGACATTCAGTTTATGCATGAAAATACGGCAAGGAAAATAAGCCAAGAGAAACTAGTCACAAAATAATCTGCAACAGGTGGTTTATTACACCAACGTGAGAGCAGAGTCGAGTTCTTTTTAAAACCACCACTGTCCATTGAGTCCTTTAGCAATAATATTGCATATCCATCATTTAATTTTCCTTAAAAATAGTTCTCAATTCCATATCGAACTTCAAACCTTCTGTTGCTGCAATTAGACATTTGAGGAAGACTGCAGCAGAAAAATTTAAACTCACTTTGTAATAAATTTATTTTACTTAACTGAGGTTCTCCCTGGGTTCATATTCACACAACTCACTGCAACTATAAGTAGGTTATATGTAAATTGCACACCAAAGCAGACTAGTGGCATTCAACTGGCTCTTGAATGATTTGAGGCTGTTGTCACAACTACTCTATCCAGGAGTTGAGCCCATTTGAAATATTGTCTGCTTTGAAGACTTCCTGATCTTATTTCTAAATTTACCTTTCGACCCTCAACACTTACTATACTTTTGAAACTAAACAAGCTATTTCCAAACTGCTTTCTTCATCAGGTTATAATGAATTCTGGTCATTTTCATCCAAACAGACTCCAAAAGTAGCAGTTAATAAACGAGGAGCTAAAACGGTGAGTGAACTGAAATATCTTTTGGGTTTTAGCATTAAGTAAACTGGAGCTCTGGTCAAAGCTATCTTTTAAACCTGTCATGAATGAAAAGCTATCAATTTACTGAACTCAGCATCCTTGTCAAAAACATCCACAATCCATTGAATTCCGTATCAGCTCCTGGAAAGGGAGAAAAATATTATCACAATCCAAATGTTAAGTTTCACATTTCACAGAACTGAACAGAGATTAAGCAATTTCAGAACACCAACATATTAAAACATGGATTTTCTCACAAGCAACCATTCCTCATGCGCAAAACTTGGATAACAAACACTAGGAGAAACTTCTTCTACCAGAAGGGTTGTGAATCTTAGGAATTCACCAACCAGAAGAATGTGGATGTTCAGTTATTATGGTGAAGACTGAGACTGCTTGGCTTTTGGATACTCAGAACAGTGAAATACAGGGAAATCAGGTTGGCAAATGGAGCTGATGCTGACAATTATTCCTGATATTAATGTTCTTCATGGGGATTAAAACAGAAACTATCCTAATCAGACCTGTGTCTCTTTTACTCCAATAGCCAATACTGCAACACGACCAACAGGGACTACTGGTTAACAAGATCATCAAGAACCTAGCCCGTTCTTCACCAAGCTAGCTAGGATCATCAATACCTTGTCTAAGGTAGAAAATAAGGCAGTAAAGAATACTCTTACATCTTTGTCTAAATCTATTCACACCCACAATCCAAACAAGTATGCTTTACAGCTCAATCCATTATACAATATGTGTTCTCCTGAAGTCAGCAGCTAATTCTCACGGTGCAACTATCAAACTTGAATGCATAAAAATCATACTTCCACTTCATAAGGCTTTGTAACCCAACATAACCTATGAAACATACAAACATATAAATTAGGAGTAGGTCATTCAGCCCCTTTAGCCTGCCTCACTATTTAATCAGATCATGGCAGATCTGATTACTCCACATCCCCACTTCCTCTTCATCCCCAGCTTTTTAAAAAAAAATTTGTTCACAACACATGAGCGTTGCTGGCTAAACATTCATTGCCCATTAAATTAACTCAGCCACACTATTGTGTGTCTGGAGTCACATGTAGGCCAGGATGACATTAACGTCCTTCAAGGAAGGAAATCCGTCAACCAGATGGGTTTTTAAACAACCAACGATGGCTTCATTCACCAATGGCTTTTTCAGATTTGCATTAAATTCAAACTTCTTCATCTGCTTTCCAAACCCATTTCCGCAAAACTTTAACCACAGTTCTAGATTACTAGCTCGGTGACGTTACTACAACACCGTCTCCCAGTGATATCAAACAGCTTATCAAAGGGCCTATGAAACAAGAAATGAGGTGCAACAAGTTTCAAAGATACTTATAAACCTCATGAAATCACTATCCTACAGACCTCTATCTTTATGATTGCAAAATACCCTGGTTACAAAATCACTACTTAGAAGACAAGGCATTTGCCTCAAAAGCCCATTTAGTAGCTTAGACCGCCTCTGCACATTACTGCATTTCCTATAATTACAACTTTTAAATACCTAGAAAGTGACCAGTAAAACTAGAAGTTCTAATTGAATCAATTTATTAAATCAGATTACTTACAAATCCTCACATATATTTTGTATCTCAAAGCCTCATTTCTAGGTACCCATCTGCTAGACTCATATAGAGAACATAGAAGCCTGGCAGTTCGAAGCAGGAAAGTAGATAAAAAGGACACCTACTTCTGTAAAAGAACATATTAGTGAAAAGGAGCAGTGGTTTGGAAACTAAATACTTGACCTTTGCTGGAGGAAATTTTTCCAGGAGCCAACATTACTCAAAATGCAAAATGCAAAATGACAAGTAGCACTGAACCCTGAAATACTTTAGCACTTTTGCCAGCAATAAAGCAAACTTGGGGGCTGTAGACTTAACTGAACTGTATGGTTTTCGAGTGAATTAGGGTATTGCATAATTTATTTTCTGATCTGCTTAAGTTTTATTAAATCTCTTAAGTATTTAGAGCTAACCTCAATCAGACATACATTGTTAAATGCAGAATTTGCACAGAATATAACTAGTGCTAGCCAGATTCTAGATGGGAATCTACTGCTGAAAACAGCTGGACATAGACGTTCAATTATTTAGTCAATGATGTGAAATAGTGGCGGCTTGACACCTGGGCTAATGGAGCAAAAAAACATGAATTTATCCAAGTTAAGAAAATCTGAATTTTGAAAATAAACATGAACTAAAATTTGCTTAAGCAGGAGCCATATATATCAAGAGTTAAGTTTTAAAAAAGCAATATTTTTATGACAAAGTCTTTTTCATATATTTGCCTTGTTAGTAATTTTCCAATTTAGTTTCATTAAATTGACAAGTATTAATTAGATGTTTCCGATGCTGACATGCCAAACCCCTTTAGTGCAATCTAATATTTTTATAAATTCACTGGTCACTCTGAACGCTACATTCAAATCACCACATATTGCTCAGCGTTCTGTACACTTACCTATTTCTGTAGAGAACAAAACTGATCAGGTAGCTTATAGCTTAGATCACTGCCTTCTCCACTGTGATTTCAGTTTCAGTGCAGCTCAGACCAGTTGATAGAGGTCAGATGCTGGCTGAGGATGGTTCTGATCACATGTGGAATGAAGTCTGGCAGCTCTCAGTTTAAGATCCAATGGACAATCAACACCCAATCAACTTCAGATACTACAACCTTAAATAGCACAGAAAAGGTAAATAGTTAGGCACAAAGGAACTATAAGTTTTTAGTTTTGTGTCAGTTTTAATCTTGCACAAAAGGAATCAGGTATATATAAATTCCTACAAACCAAAGATGATACCAAAGAACATACTGAAAATATAAAAAGAAACAATCCACTACATTGCTTTGAGCTTTTATTGTATTGACCACCTCTTCACTTCTGTGAAGTAAAAGACAATTAAATAATATCTTACCTACAAGATGAGGTTTAACTGATGCTTAGCTCTATTCTGCTCTACAAGACACATCTGTTTTCGTTGGCCTCCTCTTTAAATTTACTGCAGTTAAAGCTTTTGTTGCATGAATACCACTCACTTTAAGAGTGCTGGCTGATATTAGGCTTCTTTGTCCAGACTTCTTGTGCTAGACCTGTTTTCTTGAAAGTGTAAACCACTTGCTGTTTAACGTCGGATCACGCCTTTCCTGGCCGATGAAGTAGCTGCTGTATCTACAGGATCTAAAGATCTTTGATTCTTGCAGAAACCACTCTCAGTTCTAGCAGTTTTTAAAATTGCGGACTTGACGATTCATCTCTGCACTTTTTGTCTGATTAGTAGTCCTTGCATTTCCCTAGCTGTGTCAAAGACTGAACATTTTACCCACCCATAACAAATCTACCTAAGAAAACAATTACACACCCCCTTTTCTTTTTTTTTTGGGATTTTATTAAAGTTACTGTGGACATACAACATTTTCCAAACTCTACACACTGCAGATATTTAACATAGAAAGGCTGAATATTATAACTCCATGATCCTGGTTCATAGCTCTCAAAATTCTCAGTGCATCTAGGAATATTTAAAATGTCAAAAAATCCCCTCAAACTCATAACAATTCCACATCGCAACTTATGAAGAACACTATAAAGATACTACAGCAAAGAAATTTTTTTTAAAAAACTAGAAATCTGTCTCCAAGGCATCTTTACAGTCCTTTCTCCACATCAAGAGTCCGCTCAATTAAACAATCCCAAGAATTGACAAAATGGTTTTCTCTGCCTGTGCTCTGGAGTCTTCCGTCATCTCACTGACTTATGTTCCGCTGAGATAATTTTTTCCTTAAAATTTTGCTGAGAGAATAACCTGCAGCTGTCCTGTAAACTCTGGGCTCTCATCCTCCCCTATTTATATAGTGATGCCTGTTACAATAAAATAGAGGTAAACAGTAAGCAGTTAATCATAAAAATCCAGTTTTACTATCCATTTAACATTGAAATGGTACAAAACCCTTAAGAACTAGTAACGTTGAATGAACCTTAATTTCCAGAAATAAAGTTACTAATTAAATTGTGGCTACATTATTCTTCCCCAGACAACTTGCTACAATTATGAATGGTTGTGCATTGCGGGGTTAGCATACAAAGGAGATACAACTTCAAATTATTACTTGAAACTTGAGAGTTTCAGGATTCAGATATGCAACACAGATTTACAAAAAAAATTTACATCTCCGCTACCAGTACCATACAGAGTTAAATTCAGTAATAATAGGAACAGGCCACATACGTACCCTTGGAATGGGTTTTGTTGAATTAATATCTGTTACGTCCACCAAATCCACCACCATAGTTCCCTGGGATCAAGGTTATATAAAATTGTATCAATACATTTCCATTTCAGGCAATACGCAAAATTTAAATTATTCAATATTCCTTATTTATTTTTCCTTTGGTGCTATCAAAATAATTCAATGGTAAAAATCTCACTGGGATTTTGTTGACAATAACCTTGTGAAAGTGATTTGCCCCATGTCAAAAACACTAGCCTGGAATTCTTGATACATTCACTGTCATTTGCCCATTGGTACGCAACAGTATTATTAATTATCAACAAGGTTTAAGCAAGTTGAATTTAAAAGGCAATGCCATCATAAGTCTTAAAAGAGAACCGAGGTGGTCATAGCAGAAAAATATCAACTTTTGGTTTAAGCTGGTAAGGAAATGAATGACTTTAAATTTCATAAATTCAAGAATTTATAGCAGAACAGGATTAACTCAAGCTTCACTAAACAAATCAGTCAAATATTGAATAATATCACGACTATGGACGAGAACTCTAACTACATACAGAGCTTTCAAGCAAGACTTCTTTATAAAATAAAAACTGCAAGCTAAGGCTGGCTGATAAGGTAACTTCTAGTATAAAATTCATTGCCTGTTGAAAAGAAGACTTGAAAAAGCAGACGTGCAAGGCAATCAATTACCTCCTCTCAAAAGAATAATTCTTGTGATTATATTCCAGACTGGGCATAGAAGTCAAAAGACATGAATACACAAAGCCTGAGTTAAAATGCATAGTTTATCTATGTTACTGAACTAATTTGTTGTGAAGGTCACAGCTCAAGGACAGCAATTAAGCACCCGTACACTCCAGGTAAAAATGTAACAACATTCTCTCTGTCTGAGTGCTGTAAGCCAGCCACCATCAAATGGAAACAGGACAGAGCATTTCAGCTGAGCTGTAAAGCAACTATCTCAAAATCAATTGCATCCCTACTAACATTTGCGATACCAGATCATCCAATCTAATGGCTGCAACATCCCATCGTCTACTCTTCATGGAACTCTAGCTGATCCATACATTTCTTTTGAATTTTTACCTTTATTAGATTCACCACTCATTTCTAATCTATTTGTGTGTTGCATTTTTCTTTCTTCTTGTACTTAGTTACTAATAAATTCTTTAGTTAACTCAAGAAAACCTGGTTAAAGTGGCTCCTTCTAAAACATAACTTCATTTGGTCTTGGAGAAAGAAGGTCACAGGGGAAGGAATCCTTTTTTAAAGTAACCTTATTGCAACCAACTGTGGAGGTGGATGAATAAAGGGAAGTCAGTTCAATTCTGCTCAATTGAGAGCTTGATAATTCATGGTATCCCATTTGGCACCGTAGTAAATTCAGGGCCCTGGACCAGGGACTGGTCATAACAATGAACAAAATCCCAAAACATTTCAGGAAATTCCAGACTGAGTCAAAGAATATTATCTACTGTTAACAACATTTTTAAAATATATGTTAACACAAAGAAAGTGAGAATGTATTCTTGTGTATAGGTTACACAATGAAAAATACAAGTTTGGTGTTCATAGTTAAAGACAGCAATTGGAATATTAACTTTCAACTTTTCAGCCAATCTTAAAAGCATGTTTAGATATGTATGTACCATTCCTTTTCAAAAAGGAAAAACCTTTCCTCCCTTTGATCAATGTAGTCTACTTCAAACAATACTGCATTTATGATTACACTGTGGTCCTTACCAATTTAAATTCTCTGAGAACTAAAATCAAGACTTTTAAGCACAGGCTTGATCCAATTTTTTAAAAAATCCAGCTTTCCCCTACCTCGAGTAAATGTTATAGAAGTGAATGTTTAATGAGCTAGAAAACTCCAAACTGCTTCTATCAGAATACAATCACAAAATAAAAACAACTGCTCAATAAATGTGCCATTCGAAAGGTCAGAAGACATCCCTGAAATACAATTAGCATTACTGATTACCTGGCATTTTGTAAAGCACACAAAGTAAGAGCAGCAGTATGTAAGCCATTTTGATCATCTAGTGAGCTCTGCCATTCAACAAGATATAGATGATCTGATCATAGCCTCAATCCCATATTTCTGCCTACTCGAATAACCACAGATGGCTGACTAACAAGCAAAACAATGTGTTTTAAAAATATTCAATGACCCCATCTCCCTCATTTTATGCAGTATTCCAAAACACTCAAACCTCAGTAAAGTTAATCCTAAATGGGAGACTCTGATTTTAAAACAATATCCTGTTGCTCTCATCACTTGGAAAGGGGGTAAATCTGCAAATACCTGTCAAGTCATCTCAGGATCTACGTCTCAACAAAATCCTTTATTTTGGTAGGATTCTTTACAATACATGATTTCTAGATTTTAAAATGAGAACACATTTGAGTCTACATACAGATCACATTAACTTAACAATTTATCCTATTTAACCCCCTTTCCACTAAATAAAATGTTAGTGGAATAGAGGATTCTTCTTAAGAGTCATAATGCACTCAAAAACATTAATTCTGTTTTTCACGCCACATATGCCACAAAACCTGCTGAGTTTATCCAGCATTTTCTGTTTATTTCAGATTTCCAGCAATCACAGTACAGGTAGTTCTGCTGTTTACGCGTTCTTCTTTAATGAGAATTGGCTGTCACACAATTGATGAATAGTGGACACTGTTTGGATAATGCAAACTTTCCGCTGGAGAGGTATATCTATTTTCTATAGCGATTTCCCATAAAGCGATTTTCTATGGTGTGAGGTCACACAAGAATGCAACTATCGCGTTATAAGAGAACTACCTGTACTTTGTTTTTAAATTCCTTTCCCACTATGTTAGACGAGGAAAGAAGTGCACATGGTCCTCAAGGTGTTGTCCTTTAAGGACAAGACTAGGGTTGGGCATGAAGAAAGAAATTCAATGGTATTTTCATGCCTGATTGCTGTTTAGTGACTCTAAATGGATTGTGAACAATGGTTGAGAGCAGGATTGTTTCAGCTATAATCTACCTACGAGACCAATTTCCTCCTGCCACTTAAGTGTTTACACTCATCTGTCAAGAATCACTTCTCCCTCACGAAACTACCAATAATTTATGATGTCACAAATATGGAGGGGCAACAAATAATATCAAGAAACTAAAATTATGAAATGAACAGAGACAATCTCTTCAACATAAAACTATTTACACTCCACAGAGGCGGCAAAAGGAAACACTACAAATCTAATGAAGGCTGTTTCAACAGGTCCATGTTTGAATCACAGCATAATTCAAATATGCCTGTGGTCGGGATCAAACCATGTTGCTCTAACAGAATAGGAAGTTTTACCCTGCCTGCCCAGAAATGCTGAATCCAAATACTTAAAATCAAGTGTTCAAGGTTTTAGCTTCCCAACAGTAATACATTTGCTGCTTGACTGGGGTGAAAGTTAAAGTACTCAATCTTCTCAAGAGTATGAATTATTTAAACCACCTCTACACTGATTTCTGTCATACATTAACTAAAAATATACCTCCATATGGTCCACCCATATTTCTTCCTCCATAGTTTCCACCTTTCATTGGTCCAAAATTAGAGTTCTGATGATGGTAGTTCCCAAAATCATTGTAGTTCCCACCTCCTCCAAAATTTCCTAGGACATAAAATACAGATCACCAGGTCAGTTATTTAAATCCTACATATTCTATGCCACCATAGGAAGCCTTTGTTATTAGTTAAGAAATTAACCTTTACTGTTGTCATCCAAATTTCACAACCACAACTCCAGTTTCATTTCTCCCCACATTAAAGGGAACGATATTTTGCTGCTCTAGTCAAAGGCCTGGGAGCCATAGACAGGTGTTCAAATTCCATTATAGCAGTTAGGTAATTTAAAAGTTTAATTAATTGAATGTGGAATTTTAACAGGTGAGAGAAATGTATCGGCCATGAGACTACTAGATTATTTTTTCCAACAATCTAATTCACTAAGGAGATATGAAAGACGTTATGCTAACCCTGCCTTATCTGGTGTAAATGAATCTCCAGATCCTTGAAAATATGATTAACTTGAATGGCCCTATAACATTGTATGGAAAGCCATCAGGTTATACTCAAACTCTGCAAAAACAAAGTCAAAGTCAAAGAATAAAAACAGACAGACCTCCTGTTACCAACCTAAACATCAAGCACAAAAGTACACCAGGCACAAAGTAATATCCAGCTCATTTGATGCTGCAAAGTTCTCCTCGCTAACATCAGGGAACATATGTTGCAATGACTAATCAAGTAACAGCCTGACAATGGTTTACTTTCCAGTCATGTTCCTTCATCATCATCTTTTAGTGCATCCTGTTCCACCAACAGGTCAGATCACCAAAGAGCTATAGTGGTTTGCAGATGATAGGAAACTAAGGGGGAGTCCTCAACGCTGACTCCATGTTGATGTCTCATGGCCTCGGGTCAAACTGTGGAAGAAACCTTTGTTGATGTCATGTACTACTGTCCCTCAGCTAAGGAATCTGTGTTTTTTCCATTTTGAGAACTAAAGGTAGCTAAAATGTAGTCAAGGTGGGGAACTTCACTCAGAGTGACTTGTTAAGACCACTGCTGTACAAAATATTCCAGTCCTAAAAGGCACAGACGTCATTAGTTACTCAATGTGCAGTTCAAGTCCTGCCAGATCACTTGGCTGCAGGCATCATTGCAGCCTTGTTACAAATAAATAGCTGATGTCAGAGATAAAGTGAGGGTCACAGGCATTTGGTTCCATTTGCAACATTCAGATAATGCAGCATTCATTGCCTGCATGCAGCAAGACCACGACAATGTTTAGGCTTAGACTGATATGTGCTAATCAACATATGCACCACACAAGTGCCAGACAATGACTACTTCCAACAAGAGAATAGATTCTACCTAGAATTTTGCATTCAACAGTATCAGCAACCGGAAATTTAACCAGACAGGCCACACAACTACTGTAATGACAACTTTACATCAAAGGCTTGGAATTCTACAGGTAACAATACTCTCCATTTACCTAGAGAAGTATAGTTCTAACAACACAAATTGCTCGCGCACCAGAGAAGCAAAAACAGCCTACTTGACTAGCAACCATCAGTGGTGCACCCTGCTCTACGCAAAGCAATTACAAGCAACCCGACAATATTTTTCAAATTCACCTATGGCAACCAGGGTAGCAGATATACAGGAGCGCTACCTGCAAGAGCCTCAAGTCACACATCACCCAACTTGGAAAAAATATTGCTTTTTAAAAAAATTCTATTGTGACAAAAAGTCGCTATATTGTGGACGTACAACACCACACAACTGCGAGGTAGCAGCTCATTAACTCTTTCAAACTAATTATGCATAGAATATAATGTCTGCTTCACTCACATCCATGAACAATTAGAGTTTAAGATATACTGAAATAATTTTGTCTTTGTGAATGCAATGAATTATACACTGATAAGCAAATCCAGAACACAGGAACCAACGTGTGCTTTTCTTTTGCCAAGCTTTCATCGGTACATATTTACAGCATTCCCAAATAAACCATGATGCTCAGGATTAGTGGTTACAAATACATTTCTTGTCCTTTCATCCCAGTCTCAACATGGGCAATCAGCTATATCCCAGAAGTGCCATCACATAACCAGGAAAACTTTGGAGCAGAACACTCCTGGATCACCTCCAGCTACAAATAAACAATAATTTTTGATGGGAATAACAAAGTGTCTGACGAACATTAGCTCCAAGAAGTAAACGCAGCCTTGTGTTTGCTTAAGAGTTCAAAAATGGACATTTGAAGACAGATTCTTCAACTTTTGTTTCAGGGACATCATTTTTTTCCCTTCAATTAATTTCACGTCAGGTCCTTTCCTATCCACTTAGAAGAATAAAGGTGACCCAAGGATAACCCATTCTCCAATCTTTCCTACAAGGTTCTCTTTCTACCCTATATACCCCTCCTGATATTGCAATTTTTCAGCTTTAAAGAAGCCAAATTAAATATTTGGCAATACTATTTGAACATGAACTAGAAATACTGTCTTTCATTACTATTCTGTACAAAAGGTTGCGCATCTCAATGCACTTAAGGCTGCAGTGATTGTCATAATGTCAGCTGCAATATCACACACTTCAGAGTGGTTTATAAAGGTGTCTCAAATTTCTTCGCAGCAGCAAGGTACTCACCACCATAATTTCCACCTCCGTCATAGCCACCACCATGGTTGCCAAATCCTCCACCAAATCCAGGACCTCCACCAAATCCAGGACCTCCACCAAATCCAGGACCTCCAAAGTTACCGCCTTAAAACAGAAAAAACACACTGAATATCTCATCTAATTAGATCCAATTCTGTCAGCATTGCGTGGGATCACAAGGCAAAAAGATACAAGACTCTTCAGATCTGAATCTATTCATTAAACAAATTTCCAAAAGGAGATAAATGCAGCAGTTAGGTTTGAAAGCAGAAAATAAATAGACAACAGCACTAACATGCAAAAATGCAGTTATTTCACATGTAATTGCTACATCATTTAGCAATTACAGTAAAAAAATGCCTTTGAAAGTTCTAATAAGTTGTAAGTTTAAAGCCTCAAAGAATATGATCCGATGTTCCATTAGAAAATGAAAATGGTTTTTCTACACATCACAAATATGGACGCGAACCAAGCACAGAACTTCCAGTTTGACAATTTGCTGTTCAGATCACAATAGGAGCAAAAGCTATTCAGTAACATAACTGGGTCCTCTACTTCAGAGGTATGTTCCTAGCCCTCATCACTTAGTGAGCCAAAATGAACCGATACTCAGACTGAGCATTCACAGAACTCTGGGAGAGGGGTCCCAAGATTCACAACCCTTTGACTGGAAGGATTTGCCCTCATTTCAGTCTTGAATAGACAACACTTTATTCTAAGACTATACTCCTAGTGGGGCAAATACATTCTTAGCATTTACCCTATTAAGTCCTTTAAAAATTTCCTGTGTTTCAATGGTAGTACCTTTTATTCTTCTAAACTCACAGTTTATAACAATATTGTCTCAAAGATAATCCCTCAATTGCAGGAATCAAACTGGTCATCTTTTTGTGCCATTCCCTTTCAGGTTCTTCCTTAGATAGATCAAAACTACCACTTTTTGCCTCCACCTTAAATTCAACCTGCCAATTCATGATCTCTCAGAATCCTTTTGCAACTTCTTCACAGCTTTTACCTTTCCACGCAGCTTTGTAATGTATCCAAGGTTATGTTATTGCAATCAGCCTAAATTAAGTCACTGAAAAGCTATAAATAGCTGAAGCCAAAACACTCGAGATACTCAACTAGTTAATCTGCTAAACCAGAAGACTAATCTTCTTCCTGTTAACCAATCCTCAATCTAAGCAAATGGATTAGTTCCAATTCTTCAAGATCTATTTTTGATCACTAAATTCTTGTCAAGCACCCTTAATTTGTTTTTGAAAACTCAAAATACGTCCATTGGTTCCACCATACCCAATCATATTGCGATTTTCTAACTATCTTATTCTCATGTCCCTCATAGACTGTAGCATTTTCCCAACAGTGGGTTACAGGCTAACTGGCCAGTTCAACCAATTTCCAAGAAAGGACGGAATACTAGCTACATTCCAATCCAAAGTCCATGCTAGAGTCCAAACACCAGCAATATATCCAGTTGCATCTGACAACCCAAACATGTCAGTCATTAGTTCCAGGCGATTTGTTATCTTTTATTCTGATTAACTCTATAATACTAATAATATTCTTAAAGTGAATAGTTTCTCATTAAAATCTTTCGTACTGTACCATCTCTGGCATTTTTTTTGTCTTCTATCACAAAGATAGAAAAACATCATTCAACGGCACTGCCGCTTGCTCATTCTCCCTTTCCTGTCCCTGACTAATGGCCGACTTGCTAATTACGATGGAAGTCTTACAATCTGTTATGAATCTAGCTATTTTAATACCATTCTCCAGTTTTCTTTATAGGCATTGTAAGTTGAAAATGGTAACATAAAATGTCACACATGCTTCACAGGAGCATTATACAATATACCAGCAAGGCACATGTCATAACGGTAGCTTTTATACATCTTAAAAGGACAAATGCACAAAAGCAAGGCAGCAAAAATTAGCCAGGGAGTGCATTCTGGAGCTTAGGACCTCTTCACTAAAAGCATGGCCAGCAACAATGGAGCAATTCAAGATGGGAGATGTTTAAGAGGTCAAAATTTGTGGGCTGGAGCAGATAGAGATACAGTGGACTGTGGCCATGGAGGGTTTTGAAAACCCCAAGGATGAGCGCCTTAAAATCAAGTTATTGCACAACCAGGTGTTAGCAATGAAGGTCACTGAACAGAAGGGAGGGGAGACATCAGTAGTGTTTTGGCTGACCTTAATTTTATCAGGGATAGAATGAGAGGGGACCAGTAAGGAATGTATTGGAATAGTCAAGCCTAAAAAGGCACGAATGAGGGTTTTAACAAGTGAACTGAAATACGTGACAAAGTTACAGAGGCCAAAATAGGCAAGGTTGTAACTGTGTGTTTGGAATCTCATCTTGAGACAAATGTAACATCAAGTTGCAAACAGACTGGCTTTGTTAGAATATTCACCATTATTTCACTGGTTGTACAGCACAAAGAGGTTGAAAAAGACAGATTAAAATCAATCTTTAAATCCAACAAGTTTTGCAAATTGATTGTGTAAATGATGCTCAAGTCTGAATTAATTACAAACACAAAAGCATAAATTAACCCAACATTAACCTGTGCAATATATTTCCCAGCTAAATATTGCCCAGAACACCAGTTATCTTTTTTGAAAAAGTGTTGCCACAGAATATTTTACACCAACCCAAGTAGGCACATGGGCTCCCAGATTACTGGTCTCGTCCAAAAGATGGTACCTCCAACAATACAGCACTTGCTGAACATTCCACTGAAGTGGAATTGTAGAGTTGTGTTCAAACCCCAGAGTGGAATGTGTCACTCAGGCAAAGTGCTTGCTGTGCTTCTTACAACAGAACTACAGTTCAAATGTATTTCATTGTCTCAAGTGCTTTACCATCAGAGGTCATGAAATGCACTAAATACAGATCTTTATTTTGTTTCATTGATTTCCTTCCAGAACTGTAAGGGTCTCCTCAATCTACAAACATCTGACCCATACTTACATACATCGCTTATTCTTACAATCACGATCCGGTACAGAAGTGTAATTTTAAAGATTGGTCTTACAAACATTTCCCACACTTATGAAAGAATGCTGGACACCTTGTCTACAAATCGACTTACAAACATTACTCATTTACACAATCTCAAAACTGTCCAAATTTGCACTGGTGGAGAACTGAAAAATTGTGATTATAAGCTCCCTTCACACTTTTGAAAGCGCACCATCAGGGCCCGGTGATGAACTCGAGATCTGTTTTTTTTTAATATTCATTTGTAATATCTATTCCACATCTTCTAGCATACCTGCATTCTCGCTAACACCACTTGCCGATATTATGCATTTTCATCCCACTCACATTTAGTGGTTACTTCCCTGTCTATTAACTATTCCACAATTCATTAACTTCCACATTATCCTTTGTTGTTGCTATCTATCCATCTCTCACATACACTATTCTCTATAATGGATGCTATTTCTCAGCAAAGTTCTTGCCAAATAGCCGACATCCAACAACACAGTGCCAAGTGTTCACAACAGAATGGCTGAGTGCAGAAGGCACATCCCTTCAACAGATTGCCTATGCAATTCAACAGCCCACAAGTAGTACATTGGCAAAATGCAGGAGGAATCCATGGTTAGCCAGTTAGAAAGCAATACATTCAAAAGATGGAGGGAGTGGGAGAAGAGGTAATTGGAAGAGAAACAATGAGAAAGTTTAAAAAACATACCACCTCCACCATAGCCATTGAAACCAGGGCCATCACCAAAACCACGGCCACCACCAAATCCATCTATGAGAGAAAAAGATAGTTTTAACAATCTTAAAATAAAGACAATATTTGCTCATTAAAATATACAACTATATCTCCAAAGCTTACTTGGGCCACCTCCAAAGTTGCCTCCACGTCCCATAGGAAAATTGCCACCTCCACGGGAGTCACCTCTGAAGCCACCACCTGTCAATAACAATACCATGTTACTTTCATTTTGAAGTAATGCTTCTGAAAGAGGTCTTCACAAAATCAGAATTCAACTAATTGAACAAGCCTTATCACAATGTCAGGGATAATTATCAAATTACAGGCCAGAGAGTCTCACGTCGGTGGTAGGGAAATTATTGGAAAAGATTTTCAGGGACAAGACCTATACACATTTAGAAGCGAATGGACTTACCACCGCTAGATAGCATGGTTTTATGTGGGGGAGGTCATGCCTCACTAACTTGATCGAGTTTTTTTTGAGGTGACAAAGATGATTGAAGGAAAAGCAGTGATATTGTCTAACATGGAGATCAGTAAAGCCTTTGACAAGGTCCCTCATGGCAAACTGGTACAAAAGGTGAAGTCACACGGTATAACAGGTGAATTGGCAAGATGGATACAGAACTGGCTTAGTCATAGGAGACAGAGGGTAGCAGTGGAAGGATGCTTTTCAGAATGTAGGGCTGTGACTAATGATGTTCCACAGGGATCAGTGCTGGGACCTCTGCTATTCATGATCTACATAAATGATTTGGAAAAAAACATAGTTGGTCTAATTAGTAAGTTTACCATCAATACAAAGATTGGTGGAGTTGAGGATAGTGAGGATATTCAGAGAATACAGCAGGATGTATCAGTTACAGGCATGGGCAGAAAAATGGCAGTTGGAGTTTAATCCAGACAAATGTGAGGTGATGCATTTTGCAAGGTCAAATACAGGTGGAAATTATACAGTGAATGGCAGAACCCTTTGGAGTATTGATACGTAGAAGGATCTGGGTGGGCAGCGCCACTGATCACTGAAGGTGGCAGCGCAGGTAGATAAGGTAGCAGAAAAGGCTTACGGCATACTTGCCTTCATTGGAAGGGAAACTGAATATAAGGATAGACAAGTTATGCTGCAGCTTTACAGAACTTTAGTTAGGCCACACATGGAACATTGTGTAGTTCTGGTGACCACACTTCCAGAAGGATGTAGATGCTTTTGACAGGGTACAGAAAAAGTTTACCACGATGTTGCCTAGTATGGGGACTTTTAGCTATGAAGAAAGATTTGATAGAATGGGTGTGTTTAGACTGGAATGGAGGAGGATCATCATCTAATAGAAGTTTAGAAGATTGTGAATGGCATAGATAAAGTGGAAGGTATGAGGCCTTCTCCCAAGGTGCAGGGGTCAATTACTAGGGGACACAGGGTCAAGGTGCATAGGGGAGGGGCGGCGCTGACAAATGTGTGAGGTATGTTTTTCACACCAAGGGTGTGCTGAATGCCTCGAACACATTACCAGAGGTGGTGGTGGCAGCAGACACAATAAGCAGCATTCAAGAAGCATCTCGATGAACACATGAATGGGAAGGGAATAGAGGGGTACGAACCATGCAACGAAGACAGTTTTAGTATGGAAGGGCAAAACAGATCGGCGCAAGCTTGGAGAGCCAAAGGGCCTGTTCCTGTGCTGTATTATTCTTTGTTCAAAAGGGTGTGCCTGAAATTTCAACAATTCAGTTGCTATTTTGATTAACTGCTTCAGGAAAAAGTTCTGAAAGTTTAAAAGACAATATAGTCCGAGTCCATCGGACTGGGTCTCATTAGAAAGAGAAGAGTGGAGGCAATTCAACCTGAAGGTCGTCACAATCTAAAGAGAAGGGAGAGGTTGACCAAGAGGATCCTTCATGGTAACCTCAGCCAGTATGAGAACTGAACCCACTCTGCATTGCAAATCAGCCACCCAAACAACTGAGCTAACTGTTCCCCTGCGAGGTTAGTACTGAATCATTCAAAATGTTAAATGACCAAAATGTCTCAAATTGGTCAGAATACATACCTCCTCGTCCTGACCTGCTACTTTGTGCCTCCATTATTTCTTGACGGGACAAAGCTTTTCTTACTTCGGCATTATGTCCATTAACGTAATGATACTTTTGAACTGGAACAGAAGTTTACAACAGTAGTTACAGATTTATGGCTACATGGTAATGCGGCAACTTTCACATTGGGGTATGCAACTACAAACAGAAGCTACCAACATGTCCACAAATAAAAGCAATTGATTACACAAAATCTCTTAACTCTGCAAAATATTAAAAAGATCAATTTCGAATATTGCTATTTACAAAGCTGTCCTGCATATTCTAATTTGAGTAGATATGCTAAGTTACTACAATGTAAAGTGAACTATCTCAGACCACACATTATCTGCAAAACACTGTGTTCAGTGTGCCATTCTCCGAAACTATTAACTTAAAGCTCAAGTTTTGCATTTAACTTTCAAACTCTCACCTCTCCTGTATTCATGTATCCCTAAGTTGTGGAAATCCCCGTACGTCCTTTGCCTTATCATGGCAATATCTTAGCAGTTTAACCTTCACGTTCTGGAATTCTGTCTCAAAATATCTTCATTCTTTCCTCCTTTCATTTAATTAAAATTATTCTTAGTATCCCAAAGCCTGACCAAATTTTTAATTACTGTTCTGAATATCTCAGACTTTAACTTTTATTGTTAATTTCACTTGTTACATGCCTTGATATATTGTACTTACAGCTTGTTTAGCAAATAGGACAGTGTTGCTGTTTCAGAACAAAATGTTTTCTCAGCTTCCAATTATTTTCTGTGGAGACTGCACAGGAAATATTCTAGCCTCATGGAACCAATTCAGTAATCACCATCAGGTGAAGGTAGGGGTGTATTCGTGTGTACACGCACACACAGGCATATGGTGTTGCATGTGTATGTATGGACAACAGACATGGGTGGATAGTATGTGCAGGGGCTGGGGGAATTGTACACGTGAGATTACAGTTGGCTACAGAAGATACTTACGGACTACTTTGTCCACTGGATCATGGTCATCAAAAGATACAAATGCAAAACCTCTCTTTTTTCCACTTTGGCGGTCTGTTATTACTTCAATGCTTTCAATTTTTCCATAGTTCTTGAAGTATGCTCTGAGGTGATGTTCATCAGTGTCATCTTTTATTCCACCAACAAACAATTTCTTCACAGTCAGGTGTGCTCCTGGTTTCCCAGATTCCTAAAGATTGTGCAAAAAGAATTGTCAAATATATTCTCAAAATTAATCCAAAGCAACAAATACCATAGCATCAATAAACACCATTTTTCTGAAAAGTCAAATTTTCAATTCTTCCAATTGTGACCTAATCGACAACAGGATTCATCTCTACTAAGAGGCATTCTTAGGCATTACTTTGGAGAAACCGGAAATGGAAGATAACAAAATGTCATCACCTTAAAGAGAAAAACAGAGAACCATTTCTGAGCTTTGAATTTCTGACAGCATTTCACCATTGCCATGCACATGGTTTACATTATGTTGTAACTACCAACCGTTTCTGGTTAAATGATAGCATGCTAAGGTTTTTGATTGAAAAGGTGTAAGCAAGTTCAGATCTAAAAAGATAAATAGAGAAAAAAGGCTTTACAGATTCTTAAGTAAATTTTGTCTAATTAATAACAAAGATCACACTTAGATAATCAAACATCGTTGTTAGTCAACAGTCCAACTCAAAAAGCAGGAATACACAAACATGACAAACACTACAACTCTGATGGGGTCTAATATGAAATTCTACATCTCAGTAATGAGATTATGTGATTTATTAGCTTGTGATACCCTTGTGGCACATAAAACTACAGAAGGCAACTGACCTAAGGAAGTACTTTGCAGAACACTCAAAAGGAAGAGACTACAACACAAACATCTCTTTCATGGCCAACAATCTTCCTTGATCAGTCAACATAAAATAAAACAACCAGAATTATCAATAAGGCTTGCGCATGCTCCAACAATACAATGAATGCAGTTATAAGATTTCTGGTCTCTTAGAAAATCAAGGTATATGGAGAGCAGGGAGAAATCTTGGAATCCAAGATCAGGTACAATCACAGTAAATGCCAGGGCAAGATCAATGGACTGTGGAGTCCACGCCTGTTCCTATTGGGAGGGCTTACGGTGAAGAACTTGTAGTTCATTATATTATTTTCAACCAGAGATTCAGATGTAACAAAATTATTCTGGCTGCAATCAGAGAACACATTATGGACAAATGTCACTTACTGATGCACTGCACAGGAAATATGTGCAAAATGCCCCATACTGCTTTTCAAATTTGATAAAATGAAGCATTAATGCTCTCATCATTGAAAGAAACTTACTTCTCTTGCAACTGCTCGTTTAGGCTCCACAACACGACCATCAATTTTATGAGGCCTAGCAGCCATTGCATCATCAACTTCTTCAGGTGTAGAAAATGTCACAAATCCAAACCCTCTTGATCGCTTGGTCTGAGGGTCCCTCATGACCTGCAAAGTTGGTTACTTGTAATTTCATGCTGCAACACTTTTGAATACAATTATAAAAACAAGTATTTGTCTTTTAGAATCATCAAATCCCTACAGGGTGGATGGTGGCCATTTTGGCCCATCAGGTTCATGCCAACCCTCCAAAAAAAGCATCCCAGCCAGACCCATTCCCCCAACCTATCCCTTAAACCCTGCATTTCCCATGGCTAATCGACCTAGCCAGCACACCCCTGGACACTATGGGCAATATAAGCATGGCCATTCTACCTAACCTGCACATCTTTGGACTGAGGGAGGAAACCCACTGCAGACTAGGGGAGAATGTGCAAACTCCACAGTCACCCAAGGCTGGAATCGAACTTGGTCCCTGGCGCTGTGAGGCAGCAGTGTTAACCACTGAGCCACCGTGCCACCTTTTGAACATTTGTACATTAGGGGTGTTCCTGGATTTTAATTAATAGTCTAGACACAGTTCAAAGAGCTTCCTTTTAGGCAAGTCATCAATAGGTACATTATGGTCAACTGCTGACTTCTAGCTGTTTGAACTTTTCCCACCGGGGCATCTGTTTGGCAAAAATAGCTGAATATTAGGAAAACATTAGAAACTGATGTCTCAGGTTTATTGTATATTTCTTAAAAAGTATTCAGTTCTAACTTATCAAGGATTCTATCTAAAGTACAAACACAGATGTAAACACAAATTTAAAACTGAATTTACTTCCATAAAATTTCTTGGCTATTATAGTTGGCAATTTTATTCCTTCCTCCCAAAAACACATGCATGGAATGAAGGCACAATTAAGCCTGAAAACTGAATATTATTGTTTATTACTTGTCTTAACAAGCTCAACAAATGGTCATTTTCCTTTTCTACTTAACTAAAGTCTCACAAAGATCTGACTTGAACAAACTATAAGCATATTTTCAAAACTTACCACACAATCTGTAAGCTTTCCCCATTGCTCGAAGTGGCCTCTCAAATTTTCTTCAGTTGTATTAAAGCTAAGACCACCTATGAACAGCTTGCGATACTGCTCTTTATCCCTATTCTGGGAAAACAAGTATTTTTAATTGCTTAATTTGACACAGCATTCATTCCCTTTTAATATCAAGGCAACTGGATATTCAGGAAACACATCAATGGGATTGTATTGTATAGCGGAGAACAGCAGTTCTGGGGCAAAAGCACTTGAAAGCATTTCAGGATGATTTTGACAAAAGGACAATCATTCTGTCATTGTGAAGTGCTTAAAATAACCTTTGAAGTTAAACATTTGAATATTTACTTGAGAAAATATAATCACAAGCTTCCCATTGCTGGGGAGATCCTTCCATTTTTATATCACCTTGCACAAGACTGTTGATCTGACCGCAAAATGATAGAGGTAGGTGGACACATTCTAGTGGAGCTAACCCTTTTGACAAATCCTTTATATATCCTGCAGTGAGCAGACCTCAAACTCATCATACAATTGAGGGGTTATCCCTGATATATTAAAAGGATTTCTCTAATAGTGGGGAAAAAACCAAAGATAAAAATCAAATTTAAAACAGAAAGTTTCAAGAATTTTACAAAGACTTCAGCACTTGTATCTTTCAAGGATCCAAATCTAACGAGAATACAGACCTCTCCCTCAATTATCTGTGCAGTCAAACTGCTTCCCTGACATGCAGTTCTGGATGTGTTTTAATTGTCTGAAATCAAACGATTCCAGAAGAAGTTGTGAAGCCCAAAGCCATCAATCCTTGGCCCCTGCCAAAAACTCAGTTGCCTCACCAACTTATCCACCCCACTTCCTAGTTAACACCAAATTGAACTTTCATCCTCAATATAATACTGTTTACTTTCACCTATGTACTGCCCTAATCCCTTCTGATATGATTCCAGCTTTGGCCTCAATACTCCAGGAACACGTATTATTTCTCTCACAGTATATAAATGTAAACAGTTACTGTTGATAATCCAGTATATTTTTTAAATTCACACATGTATGGATTAAAATTACATAAACCTGGATTCCAAGGGATGTTACTGTTATGCCTGTGGGCTATCGCACACCATGTTAGCATTAGTGAATTATCCCATTCCTTAAATGGCATACATCTGCCTTCCCTTCTTCAGAATCATCTTCACTTTTACCTTTCACATCTACAGATTATTGCAACATGACCCCTCCTCCCATAGTATGAAGGGACCTCATGCCACCCTCTCCCCATATCTGCAAGAGCTGCAACACATCTTATTCTCAGGGCCACAAGTACACTCGCAGCTTAATATGCAGTATCCTCCACAGAACAAGTGCAAAGCTCTTTACAAACATCTGTGAAGAAGGATTTGCATTTATGCCATGCTATTCAAGACCGCCAGGTCTCCCAAAGTGCTTTAGTCAGTCAATGATGTACATTTGAAGCGTAGGATCCTATTATAATGCAGGAAATTTGATAGCCAACTTACAGGCAAAGTTCTCAACATGTGATGACGACCAGATGTTTGTGATTTTAACAAAGAATGTATATTAACCAGGAGTAATTCCATGGTTGTCTCTCAAGATAATACCACATTTTATTTTCAAACACCTGACAGGGCAGCCAGCACCTGTTTAACATCTCATTCAAAAAAAGGTGGTATCTCTGGCAGGTTAAGACTCCCTGCTGGAGCATCAGCCTGATGTGATGCACTCAAGCCCTATAAAATGGGACTTAAAGCCAGACTTGGGACTCCAAAGCAGGCATGTAAAATGCAACTCATTAAATACACATCCATCGCTACTTTTGGTCTTCTATACAGTTCAATGTAACAAGATTAAGAGAACAGTGTTGTAATTCTACACACCTCAGCCCTCTGGCCACATGGATTTAACAACTTCAGTAGGAACTGCTGCTCATGTAGGGTGAATGTTGTCAGCACTTCTCAGGCATCAGTGAGAAGTGCACCATGGAGGCTTACAGTTGATGCAAAAACCCTCCAAACTACTGGTTCCCCCCCCAGTCTCCTGCAGTTTATTCTCTTTTGGTAGGTTTTTCTGATGCTTTTTAATCCTATCTCATGTCATCTTCCCCCAAGACGTTTCTGAAATCACCCTTCCTATGCAAAGGAACCAATTTATCCACTTTACCTGTCACCCTCCAGGAAGGCTTTTTTAAAAAATCTCTACAATGATTCGGAACAGAATAAAACACTAAGTGCTCATTCTATACTTGCCTTCCATCAACTCCCCTGCACAGAAGTGTGTGTGTATTGAAACTTTTTGGTATTGAAAAGATTCAAACCTTCTAGATAGTATAGTAAACTTAACGCAAATATGGAACGTTTGAGATTACCGTTTATTAAAAGATTGGGTTCAATCCTGAAATGTTAATGAACATTCAAACTTCGCAAGAAGTAAGACAAGTCTGTCTTTGGATATCAACGGACAACTTGACAACAAAAAAAAACTGTTGTAAAATAACGAGAAAGACCCGAGAAGCGCAGATATCAGTAATCTAAATTCAATCCCCCATATATTTCACCTACACTCAACTCCTGTTTCCTAGTAACAACAATAAAGCCCGCGAACAGGCTGCGATTAACCACCGTTTTCGGCGCGGCATCCCCGTTTTCTTCTATCACCACAGGATCTTAAATCAAACCTTTCAAAATTGTACACTGAAAAAAAAAATACGCTACGCCACCCTCCCCAACCCTCATTTTTTCTATCCCTTACCTCCATCCTGCTCGAAAAAATAATTTTTAAATAAAAATGCTATACTTCAACTCAAGCGCTTCGTAAACAACGTTATATCGATAAAAAATTGCGTTATAGCTAAAGAAAAACGAGTAAACAGACAAGCTGTGATGCACAGCCTCCTCGACACAGCCACCACCGCCGCCGTTCAACACTTTCTAGAACCTTCCCTCAGCCGTACAAAATGGCCGTCCACTAGTCACGTGACGCCAAGTTGCCAACGGCAAAGTTGGTGACGAAACCGGACAAGAATCGAAAAAGATTTTCCGAAAATAAAAGAAAATTTGTTTATACTACAGTTCTGAAAAATTATTTTTAAAAGAAGTATCACCCTTAATTGAACACATTAATTAAGCCTCGGGGGCTTCTAACGGAAAAAGTCGAAACGGCTTCGGGTATGACGCAATTTAAAAATCGAATTTTTAAGTACATCACAGACATTTTTGTTTCGTAGGATATTATCGTTTTTTCCAGTCAATATCCGGTTGAATAGTTTAATATAATTTGTCAAAATAATTCTCCAGAAGTGGTTCTCGGTCACGTGACGGGCGGATGGGCTCGGAAATGATTAGTGTTTCGATAAGGACTTTTTTTCAATTTAAAAGATCTAGGTTTGGTTCTGTGCCTCACAGGCGTGTGTTCGTGAATAGTTGATGTTAAGTTATTCGATAAATTTTGGAAAACGGAGGGAGTGCTGGTTGGAGGTGTGCGCAAGCGCGTTGCGTCAGCGCGTGTTTTTGGCGGGACTGAGTGAACCTCTGAGAGAGGGAGAGGGGGAAGAGGGAGAGAGAGAAAAGAAAGTGAAAAAGAAAAAAAGAGAGAGGGAGGGCAGTCCGGACAGCCAGCGGAGCACATCAGGACTGAATTGGGCAGGTAGGGCAGGCAGCAGCTAGTTCGCCAGCTAGCCAGCCGATCAGTGCTTCACTCTTTTACTTCCATCCGGTGACTCCTAGTGAGCGCGGAGTGTGGGCCTGGCAGCACTGCAGAGCAGCTCGAGATTAATCGCCCAACAAACTGATTTTTTTTTTAAACTTCCATCTCAATCGAGTGGAGCACACCAAGATTATATAGGCCCAAACTCCTGGCCAGTGGCGGGAGCGAACGGAAGTCCGTTTAATAATCTAAGGAGGCCGCGGTTCATTTGTTTTGGTCGTGAAGGTTTCTAGGACTTGTGAGCTCTCTGCCTGCCCCTTTTGGGTGGGTGGCGAGGTCGAGTTTCAACCTGGAGACTGGGGAAAAAATTGCACCTTCTTTGATTCATAGACCTAAGAGATTGACATAAATTTTCGTTAACAATTGCTTTGGATTTTATCTTCTGTCGCTGTTTCTGCGCGGGTTATTTACGTAAGGTTGAGGTAATGAGTTAAAAGGTAGTTTAAATGAGATTCCAATTCCTTACCGTGCGGAAGTCTTTTTGTTTAATACTGTAAATATTGGTGTTTAGTTATCACTTTGTAACTGGCAATTTTTGTGATTTTAATTGGACCCTTGTATGTGGAAATTCAGGACTTGAACCTTAGCATTCTTATGAAGTGCGCATTCTTTATTTTTCATTATGAGACGATTCTTTGCCACTGTCACTTTTTTTTAGTCTGGTCGTTGTGTTATGAGGAGGGAGGTGGAAACTAGGAAGATGTAACATGGTGATCTAGTGGGTCTTAATGTTAGATGTTTTATATATGTTAGATAATTTTGAATTCAAAGAGTAAGAGCAGTTTAATGTTCTTGCAGTACTTTTTTTTGATTATTGCTGTACTTTAACTTTTTAAAATCTGGCTTAGACGTTTTAAGTTTTTTTAAACAATTATTAGACAGAAGTCTGTAATTTGAATCAACTGCTACACAACAGGAGCAAGTAATTACATTGGAATTGGTTTGTGTTTTTGCTTTTGGAATGTTTATATTCATATGACTGATCAAGATTAGGTTGGTATAACCTTTGCCATCTTGCACTATGTATCCCTTTTCTATTAAACATATTTCTAATTTTAAACACGTTTTCAAATAGTTACTATCATGTTTACTCCAAAATGTAATGTTTGAAATGCTGACTTTATACATGTGAGCAATTGCTGATTATTCTTTCCTAGGGGCTTGAGTAGGCGGATACAAAGTAGAAGATGACCACGGTTGAAGATTCCTTTTTTTCTCCTATTAGCCTTGTTTCTACTAGTGAGTTAATCCATGTTTACAAATAATAAAAAGAAAATGCATCATGTTATATCCCATTTACAGTACTTAGCCATTTGACCATATTTAAATTAACAAATAAAATTTGTTCATATACTCCTAGGCCCCAAACAATGAAAATCTGAGTTCCTGTTGTGGTCCCAGGTGTGCCATTCTGACTTAAGAATGAGGTTAACGATTTATCTTGGGACACAGACTTTTCAACACACAATTGACACTATTCAGCAGATAGTTATTGTGCCACTTGTGATGTTGGAGTTGATTAAAAGAATTACAAAATGGCAGATTTTTATAATTGTGAATTAAGGATCTGCTGAAATCAAACAAAAAACACTTCAAATTCTCATAGTCAGCAGCTGGATAAGGACCCTGCATAGAGCTAGTAAGTGGGGAATATCATGGATGTGTTCAGTGGAGCTAGGAAAAAATGCTCATTTATATATTAGATTTGTTATTGGAGCCTAAATATGCTAAATATCCTTGTAGCAATGTGTCTAACAAAAACATATTGTGAAATAATTGTCTGAAGTTGCAAGCTTCTGCAAATATGCTGTCCTAACTACTATCTTGATGGTAAAGCAACTTCTGCAATGTGGTGGTACGTTACAGTTTACTCCATGCTTGGGTTGTTATGATAAAATGCACTTCTATGTGCATGTTGTAGTTTGGAGGTGTGAATGATAGGCTCATGATGGTAGAGGCTCCAAAGTTCTTTCCATTACAAGGCTGACGAGGAATCTTTCCCATTCTTGCTGCTGGGATTTAAGCAAGTAACGCTGCCAATGTCCCAAAGGACCATAAAGCTGCTCCCTCATTAGAGAAAGGTGACTGATAGGTGACTTTAGCTTGAGTCACCATGTATCTGTGACCTTAACTGGTGTGGAAATTGAACCAAGATGGTGTTATTCTGTATCACAAACCAGCCACCCAACCAAGTGAGCTATAATGTACCCTCTGGAGAAATTTACAGGGTGACATTCAACCTGTTTAGCCATTTTATGATTACTCCTTTCTTAGTCATTTAAGTTCTGGTGAGAGCATTGAAGCTAGGATTTCTAGCTTAGAGGCAGAGATGCCACCCACTCCACCATATTTACCTCCTTTGAAAGATGTATCTAGTTTTGGACTGAATTCAGCAGTGAAACTCTTCTCCACTTTCCCATTTTACTTTTTTTTTGTACTGTGAAGTTCTAAACTGTAGTCAAAAGAATGCCATTGTGAATGACGGAAATCTGAAATTTAGATCTGCGTATTTTATAAATTGTCTGTCTGTTTCGCAGCAAGATTAGATTAAATCCCTTCTAGCCAAGTATGGCCAATACTAAAAACAAAAGTTTGCTACTGTAATTTCATAAAATGTGAATGACACTATTGAATGATCATACTTTGATATGGAATCACTGTTGACAAGCCAGCACTTAACATTTTCTCATTGTTGCACTTTTTTTGTTGAACAGAAGGCAGATAAATTTATTACATTCCCAATTCCTTCACAACTCAGTTTAAATTAGTTTTAAAACTTGAAGGGATAGGAGTGTTGTTGAAATGCTTTTGTTGGGTTTAATCATTAATGACAAAGTGATACTACTTATTGATGCTGTAGTAATGTTTTGATTTCAGGATACCCTACAGAGCATAAATTCTGACAAAATTTTTATATTTTCTTCCTTTTTCCTCTGCTACCCTGTCTCTCTGTATTGCTAGTTTACAGATTCGAAAATGCTTTCCAATGTCTTGCGCAGACATTTATTTGTGTGTAATCCTTATTGTTTTATATTTACAAACTGGAAAAGGGAATTCCTAGCCAAACTTAATTTTGTTCTTTTTAATAATAATGTGCACACCAGGGTAATGAAGACCTTGTGCTCTTTTCCCCATCCTAACCCAGAGGTACTGAAACCAGTCATATATTTTAGTATTGGCTATCTGAATGCACTTCTATCCTAGGACATCTGATTTGTCTGGCTCAGCTATTTGATGCATGAGTTATTGAGCCAGTGAAGAAATCTCTTGGCCATTTTCAAAAAAAGTTAAGTGGTCACCAAGGTTTTTTCACTCCCCTTATTGTGTCTGTGTGTGAGATACTTGGACAGTAATTGGACAATAGTGTTTTGTCCATTTTGGTTTTTAGTCGGTAAAGAGAGGAATAGGCTTTGTAACAATTGCAAGGTAAATTGCAGCAAGTTATTTCTAAGTCACCTTCATACCGAGTTAGCGAAATGGTTTTTAACTTTTAAGACTGTGGCATCCTAGAGAAAGGGAATCTGTCAAATGAATTCAGTTCAGTTCCTGCTGAATGTGTGTATGCATTCATACTTGCAGTAGGAGCTGCAAACAATCAGTATTTGACAATATGATCAGATTTTCCTCCTTAGCCCAGGGGCACTACCTGGAAACTTGTCATGCCTAGCACAAGAGAGTTTGAAGCGTTTTCTCTCCTCTGTTTCCACAGTGCTTAACTAAAGCAAATGTGCTAACGTGGTGACTTAAAAAATAAAATGAAATTGTAGTTGGAATCTTAGTATTCAATAGGTTAGACAATCTCCTTTTGCCTTTCGGAGTTTGGCAAACCTAAGATTGATTAGATGAAAATGCCACTTATTATCAAAAGGGTTAGTCTTTCACAACTGGCACAAATCCTTGTACATTGGCTTAGATTTTGATACTAATGCTATGGGAGTAATTGTGGACTCTTGACTTTTCACGCCACCCCAATTGCTCTTGCGTATCTCTTTTTTTATAGTAATTCTAACTAATTGCAGGTGACGTAGAATGGATAAAATAGATTTATAAAGCAACTAAGTTGTTCAACAACCTATTTTTCTTTAAAAGAACTCACTCAAAAGACCATTTCTGACGGTCTTTTTCTGAATTGAACCCTAATTTCCCCCAGAAATTAATATCATGTATATTTTCCTTATGCCCAACAAATTGGCTTGTTTTGAAATCTGTAAAAATGGTAACTGAGGCTGGTGCTGGCACTTTTC